AACCGGTCGTAAGTCGAGGACTACCCAACCGGTCGTAAGTCGAGGACTTTCCCTGCCCGGGAGCGCCGCGCATGCGTGGTTCCGCCCCCTGCGCCGGCCGAGGCGTAGCTGGCAAGCGGCAGAGACGGAGCAGGCCGACCACCAGCTGGCCCAGCCCAAGGGAGGTAAGGCACCCGCCGGAAAAGGGGAAAAAAATGGCCAAAAAAATGGCGGACAGCCTTGCTTGGCGACCCCCGTGAAATGGTTGATCGACCCCAAATGGGGTCCCGACCCACAGGTTGAGAACCACTGCTCCACACCTTCTTATTTCAAAGTTGTATTATGGGCACTATCAGAATATTGAGCTCCTTCTCCCTATGTCAAATTCCTTCTCATTAATAAACTCAACTTGCAAACCACAAACAGCTTTATTCCAGCTTTCAAAATGTTTAAGGTAGCACAGCTGATACTGGAATACAAACTGCTAATCTTTTTGTAGCACAGTGCTTTGCTTTTTGCAAAAACAACAAGTAGCACATTATGACCCCCCCAACACACACACACAAATTAGAAATGTAACATCAACAACCACAGCCCTTGCTTCTTTCCCTGAAAACAAATTCGAAATCCTCAATCTAACCATTATAATAAAACTGTCTGGCCTTTAACTGGGCAAAACATTTTCAATTAGGGCAACTCAAACGGACTAACTTATAGAATGTATCCAAAATCTGGGACCTATGGTTCCTGTGGAACTGAAATTTTGTAAAACATTTTGTAAATGTTGTAATTTTGTGAAACATTTCATGACCCAAAAAGGACCATAAAGCATTTTATGACATGATACAATGTGTCACAAAACATTTCCTATGATCAACTGCTGATGTTTGATAGTGCTATACAGTTCAACCAGGGGCTATTTCCAAGGCAGAAAATATCTAGATACCTCCCTGAATTTTTAAGAATTTTTCAAGTGAAGCCAGTACACTAAAAGCTCTGCCACTGTTGAACGTATTCAGGAATCTGATAAGGAAATATTTCTGAAATGATGACCCAATGGGTCAAGGGTCATCTAGTACAACATATAAAGACAATGGCTCATGGGATACATCTAGAATGGTGGTTCTTAAAGTGTGGTCCTGGGATCTCTGGGTATCTCTCAAGACCCTCTCAGGGAGTCTGTAAAACCCTAATTATTGGCCACCTTATGTTGAAAAATAACACCATATTAAAATCCCACCAAACAACCGTGAGAAGCAGTAGCAGCGAATATTGACAACGATAACCGATGCAAAGGAAAGCTCCGGTAAAGGAGAAGGTTAATAATAATAATAATAATAATAATAATAATAATAATAATAATAATAATAATAATAATAATAATGACAAAAAGTCTGGATAGTGGACGTGGCAGTGCCTGGAGACAGCAGAATAGACGAGAAAGAACTGGAGAAGATAACAAAATACAAAGACCTACAAATAGAAATAGAAAGACTGTGGCAAAAGCAGGCAAGGGTAGTACCAATAGTAATAGGCGCCTTGGGTGCAATCCCAAAACAACTGGAGCACCACTTGAACACCATCGGCATTGACAAATTCGCCATTAGTCAATTGCAAAAGGCAGCCTTACTAGGAACTGCTTCCATCCTGCGACGATATCTGTAATACCATCAAACATCCACACCTGCCTATCCCAGGTCCTGGGTAAGGACTCGATAGGTAGACAAAATGCCAAATCCAGTCTGAACATCTGGCTGACTGTGCAATGATTAATAATAATAATAATAATAATAATAATAATAATAATAATAATAAAGTTGGAAGGGACCTTGGAGGCCATCTAGTCCAACCCCTGTAGCTCAGGATTGAACTATGGAGTCCTTGGTGCTCTCTGAGCTTGGTGGTTTTCTTGCAGACATTTCATTACTCAAACTAGGTAACATCATCAGTGCTAGAAGGAAGGGGGTTTGCGGAGTGGAAGAGAAGGGAAGAGGAGAAGATAATAATAACAACTATGGGGTTCTTGGTGCTTTCTGAGCTTGGTCGTTTTCTGGCAGGTAACATCGTCAGTTACCACTGAGAGTGATGATGTTACCTAATTTGGGTCATGAAACATCTGCAAGAAAACCACCAAGTTCAAGAGAAAACCAAGGACCCCTTAAAAGAAATTTCTCTGAGGCTTCTACCTTAAAAAGTGGGGACATTTAAAGAACGCTGTTTTGGAAGAATAAAGAGCGGAAAAGAGGTGCTTGTAATCCTTGCAAAGGCCGACTCCAGCGCTACCTAACAAGCAAGGAAGAAGCGAGCCATTACCTTCCTGAATTTGAAGGACATCCATCCTGCAGAAATTCTTCCAAACGGAGGTCAAGAGGGACTTCTTCCTCTCCCGCTGCTCTGCAAAAACCTTGGCTGCATCCTGATTTTTTGAGGTGGGGGGGGGCGAGAAGTCCTGCCACTCAGTTATGGCCCAAAGGCCCCCCCTTCCCTTCCACCTGCAGCAAAGGGACAAGAGCTTTCAGGGGGTATCTGAGCCAGGACCGCAGCTCCAAATTTATTATATTTTATTTAGAATATTTATACAGCTGCCTACTCGCTGGCAGAGAGTCTCCTCCGGGACCAACAGCTGCCAATCAAGCTGACAACCTGACAACCCCCCCCCCCACTTCCCCAGACCAGCTTCTTCTGCTGAGGGATTACTGGATAAACAGTAATTACCAGAAGCCCCCCCCCCCCACCTTCGATTGGGAATGGGAATTGGACGCCTTCCCATCTGGAAGGCCGAGCTGGGGGGGGGGGCGGTTCAATCAGGGGAAACGGAGGCTCCCCAGGGTGGGGGTTAGGTTAGGCCGGGGTCAGGCCTTCCCCCCCCCTCCCCGACCGCCCCCTACCTCGTTTGGGGCCGACCCGTCCTAGTCCCGGTCCTTGCAGGCGGCGAGTGGGCCCAGAGGGCGAGGAGGCACTTTAGTGACAACCCGTAAAGGGCTGCTGGAAGCCGGGATGAAGGGAAGGAGCCCAGCGGGGCGACGGGTGCCGTTTATTACCCCTCACCCCCCCCCACTTACCACCACTGTTGGCGAGGCGGAGAGCAAGGCCCCGTTGCCCCTAGTTACGAGGGAGGCGCTTTCGCGCGTCGGGAGGTTTGTCCCTTCTCCCGCCCTGTACCCCTTCCCGAGCCGCCCGCCGCGCTCACCGGCCCGTGCTCCCGCCGCCGGGGCCTCGTCCTCTTCCCTCCTGCTGCGGCCGCCCGCCGTCGCTCCTCGCACCCGCGGCGCCCCGTCGGCCTCCCCCCAGCCGCCAAGATGCCTTCTCCCTCTCTCTCCTTCTCCCTTTTTTCGGAGCTCCCGCGACACGTGCCGCGGGCGGGCAGAAGCAGCCANTTTTTTTTCTGGTAAGTAGGCTTGTTAGGAATTGCAAGATTACAATGAAAGTTCTCCTTGAAGTTAACATCCCTTAATAGGATGCATACTTTATATTTTTCCTTGATCCTCCATGATTGCAAGACATATTATTGTTGGTTAAGGGCTATATAAGGCATAGGTTTCTACTGTCAAGTTCTTTGACAGCTACTAGATGACCCATCATTATGTGCCAGTTGAAAATAATTGGAACTTGTAAAACCTATCTGTAAATTTGTGCCATCAATGAATTGAGCTGTACTATTGTTAGGCAGAGTGCCTTTCTTGTATAATGCCCACAATAATGAGGGGCTTTTACAACTTAACAATAATAGCTACCTATGATACACAGACGGAAACCCCAATTACCAACTGAATAGAGTCAGTTTAGGGAGTATGAAAGTGTAACCTTAAATGTTATACATTAAATATTTCAGATGACGAAAGTGTTTATATCGCAGCCCCCCCTCATATTTATGAAAAGATTCAACTGTTTTTTTAATTCCTGGAGATCTGTTGAAAGCTGTTGGTAAATTTGAATTGTCATCAAAGATACAAAGACTATACACTTAAAAAGTTAATTTTTTTCTACCTCTTCAGATATGTGACTCTTGGTAGAACTAACAATTGCACATTACAACTAGAAGATAATCTAAATACACTAAATTAGCATAAAGCTAAGAATTCTTCACTTTGTATCTTAGTACTGGCATTGGATCAAATATTGATTCAATATTCAATATTGATAATATTGACTTCTTAATGGCTTGGAAAGAGAAAGGACAGCGTTTGGTACCTTTTACTTAGTTTCTTTTTGATGTGATCATTCTGAACTCTATTATAAACACAATAATCCTCTCTGCCCTGCTAGCATCCATTAATATCAAATTAAGTAAACAAGTGAATTTTTTCAGCACAGATTCAAGGCTAAATTGGATAAGTCATCTACAGACTTTACAGATCCATAATGTCTCTAGCATACCTGTTATAGGGATGTCATTTTGGTAGCTGGTGGCAGTTTACGGTGCTCTTAAGTAATGTAGTACACATGTTTCCAGGGAAAGGAAAAGTGTACAGCAAGATACTGAAAAGCTGAGAAAAACATAAGCATTTTAAACTGTTCTTAGTGCAGGTAGTCTTGAAATTGTGATTGTAATTAGGCAATTATGGTCATAAGTTATGATGTTTGTAAAGCGATTTTATGATCATTTCATTTTTTGAGGTGGTCATAAAGAGAATGCTGAGATCATTAAGTGAACCCCTTGTTTGCTGTGGGGCTTTTTCTTAGAACTAAACACTGGTTTCAGGGGGGGATGTAAATCGTGGTCACGTGACCCTGGGTGCTGCAAATGGCTGTAAATTCAAGCAGCTTATTGAGCATTCAACTTCAAGACGTGGTTGTTCCAGCTAGCGGGACTGGCCTAAGGGATTTTAAAGGGGTTTTAATTACTTTTAATCTGACATATTTAAATATTTCGTTTTAATCAAATTTTAATTAGGTATAATATGTATAATATGTTAGTATTTTATCCAATTGTCAGCCGCCCTGAGTCCGCAAGGAGAAGGGCGGGATATAAATGTAATAAATAAATAAATAAATAAACTTGCAGTCACAAGCGTGCGGGAGTGAGTGGGCTGGATGGTCTAACTTCACAACTGGGACATAAGTAGCTTTTGAAGCATCCGGTGTAACCTTGAATTGTTTCTAAGTGGCTGGTTGTAAGTCAAGGATGCCTGTACCATAGTTTTCATGCTTCCATACAACTTGAAGATTTCTTGGTGTATCCAAGTATCTAAAGCTTAGTACAAAGCTTTATGTTCTGTGCATATGCTGAAGAATTAGAGAGAAGACATTTCTCCATCCATTTCTGCTCAGCTTGAAGCAAACCGTCTTCCTGAAGCTGTTATGCAGGAAAAGTGGTATAGGTTCTCCTGCTTGAGCAGGGGGCTGGACTAGAAGACCTCCAAGGTCCCTTCCAGCTCTGTTCTGTTCTATTCTACTCTACTCTATTCTATGTCTGATGTTGCATAGGTTCAAAAGAACAAATTCATAGTTCCCATCAAAATCATACAGGTGCATTTTTAAAAGCCTCTGCCTTCTCCTGCTAAACTATATTGCTGATGCAGATGGAACAAGTTTCATCAGAACGTTGAAAGGGAAAAGACTGCTCTCTTTTACCTGGCAGAGGGCCCTCAAAATCCCATATCCTGTAGGTAAGGCAGAGTAAAAAAAATGCTTTCATATTGTCTCATGCCATTCATATTCTCGGTAACATACCGAGAATCAAAAACTTCAATACTAAACAACTTGGAACCCAAAGCTGAGAATCAACCAGGGGCAACCTTGCAGCTTGAAGATGAGTTCTGGAAATTGAAATCCACCTATCTTCAAGCTGTTAAGGTTGACCTAGACCAGTGGTGGC